TTTTTTTTTTTCTTCTGTATGTACCTCAAAAAAGTTATTATTATTTTTTATTTTTATTTTTTGTGCTTCTCTGCTTTTGTCGGATGCTTTTTTTATTTTTTTTTGCTGTGTTGTCGACTGCCGACATTCCGTCAGTCTGTGACTTCTTTTTTTTTTTTGTTTTTTTATCATCTAATCTTCTTTTTTTTTCTTGCCAAGTTTTTTAGTTTTGTTTAATTGAAAGTTATGGTGTTGTTGTTGTTGAAAATTTTTTTGCAAATACCATTGTATGATGGGAAAAAAAAAAAAAAAAGAAATTATTTCTTCATTTTTTTTTTTTTCTTATTCTAATCATAAAAAAAAGACACAAATATATATTTTGTGCTTTTTTTTTTTCCTTCACTCCTTCGGTTCTGTTCTGTTTTTTTTTTGTCAACCCAACTAAATAGACGATTGTTTGTTCTGTGCAAAAATGGTGATGCTTAACACAGAAGAAAGCAGAGGATCTGTGTATCCGTTTATGTGCTCTGTGTGTGTGTGTGTCTGTTTGACAATCCGTTTCCTTTTTCTCAAATATTTTCATGGAAATTTCGTTTTTTTTCCCTTATCTTTTATTTCCTAAAAAAAAAAAACTATTTTCTACATTTTTTTTTTTTTTTCTAATGTATTTGAGCAAATATGTTTGCATTGTTTTTCATTGCATTGCTCATTGTTTAGGATCAATGAAAGAAAAAGAATAGAAAATTTTGAGAAGACGAAGTTGGCAGAAAAAAAAAAAAAAGAACTTGATTTTTGATAGTTTAAGTGAATTGTATGGGTAAACTGTAGAACAAAAAAAGAAAAGCTATGTTCATACATTTTGGCAGTATGGTACAGTATTTCTTTTTTCTTTCATTATTGTTTTTGATTGTTGAAAAAATTTAGGCAACAAAACAGATAAAAAAAAAAAAAAAAAAGGCGAAAGGCAAAAAAAAAGCCTTTTTTTTCTTCTTTCTTTCTTTCTTTTCAATTGCTTACTGTCATCAATTTTCGTATCAATTAGGTTTTTTTTTTTTTAAGAACATAGAAAAGAAAAAATTTTTTCTTGTCATCTATTTCCCATAGAAGTTTCGTTGTTCGCAGTAATTTAACCATTGTTATCATTGTTGTTTTTGTTTGTCGTTATTGTGGTGTTAGTGTAATGGTGATGGTGGTATCCTTCAACAACAGATCAAAACAACAATATCATCTAAGTTGGTGATGATAACCATAAATGACTGTTTTTTTTTTTACCTCTACTGTTAATGTTAGATGTTTATAACTATAAAAAAAAAAAAGAAAGAAAGCAAAAAAAAAAGAAAAAAGAAAGTTGTTATTTGAAGTGACAAAAAAAAAAAAAAGTTATCATCGTCTTTTCACAGCAGAAAAAAAAAAAAAAAAAAGATGATGGTGATGACGACGATGACGGCATTATTATTCTTCTTCTTCTTCTTCGTCTCCATATGCCTTTGCTTGTATGCGGCGACCGAAAAACGAAGTATTACCAAAATTGTGTGATTATATATGTTTGTGTGTTGCTGTATTTATGTTGGTCTCTGTATGCG